TAATTTGTGCAAGATTTATTAGTTTTCTCTTTATTTAGCAAAATAGAGTAAAACAAGTCAATTTGTGAGTTATTTGTAGTCTGCAGCCGGCTTAGTATGGACTGAGTTGTCTTCTCCTGTTACTAGCTCTCAGATTTAAGAGTCAATAACGGTAGTTTAACGTCATTTCGCCCCCTTTGCCACTTCGCCACGGTGTCTCATGAACAAATTATTAACACTTGCGAATGCTTTCATCATTTGAGATTACAAACATGGTCGGTTATTCAAACTACCTCTTCGTATGGTACAGACCGTCTAAATGCCGTCTTAGAGTCGTTTCAAGACAAATTTATTTACGAGGGACGAAATGACATTGGGGCGGTTTGACCTCTTAAAATTTACGTTGTATGACAACCGAGACTTGATCGTGTACTAAGCTTTGATAGTGTGACAATCAAGACTAGTGTCTACTTTCGATTGCCAACAAACATGGCGGACACCGTCTTGAAATTCGTTGTTTACATTCATTAAATTGTGAAAAAAAGCAAATTAAAGGCTATTCTTTATTATTTTTGGTGTTGACTCTTGAGGGGGTACCTTGAGGTGTGTCTCCATTGCTTCAGTATGAGATGCCAGCGCATTGGGAGGTTTTAACGAGACTAAATGTGAGGAAGTTCTCACCACTCTGTTAGTACTACCCTACAGTCCAGCCCACTGCAGAGATGTGATGTCAAAACCAACGGCAGTCAACCTTCTCATCCCGTGCTGCTGTTTCTCCACGCTATGAAATATTCACCAAGCTCCAAACTTGTAGTCTGAAAGACAACATCCCTCAAAACGAGATCAAATAGCTATATCGAGCCACACTGAAGATCTTACAGAATGAATAGAACAGTGGCAGATATCTGTACTAAAGACCTATCTGTTCAGTGCTCTGCAGCAGCGGAGTGAACACCTCACAATCACAACAACAACATCAAAAAAACCTGACTAAAAACAAATCCAAACTGAAAGTAAAATGCATTACTGAATAATCAAACCAGGCCGCACTAAAGAATCATCTTTAAACAATTTGAAATTTGTTTAGATGACAAAATGAAATTATTTTTATATTTTCTGCGAGTCTCATTCTATAATTGAACAGCTGATAGACCTGTTTTCCAACTGACCAACACTCTAGATTTCCTTACCAGACAAATTAGTCAAGCTGTAAATTCAACAGGTGCGCAGTCTTGCCCAGTGTGCCGCAGGCTGTGCACGTTAAATATCCCTGCGACAATTCCATCTCAAACAAAATTGAAGGCAGATGCAGAAATGTGAGACGTAAAGTCTCCAATCATTTCACTTCTGAATTCCGCAAATCATAGCTAAACCGAAAATTTATACAAACGCAAACCAGATAGTGAAAACCACGGCAGTGTCTTCTCTCATTTTCTACACACCACAGAAATGTTGATCAAGACATAAAAATAAAAAAAGAAAAGATGCCTAAGAATTATGTTCCTATATTTAGAAAAAAAATTTCAAAAAACGAAAAAATGAAACTACCACGAATTTGGATCTTTTTTGCATGAAACTAGATTAAGGGGCTGTCCATGGTTAAACTTAAGAAGCATAAAATTTACTGTCAAAGTGTAGAGTCTTGATTTGTTTAAAAATATGTTTGATTTCATGAGCAACAAACAACAACAAAGTCAAGCATGACTGGCATATAAGATTGCACACATCCCTCAAATACCGTCTCATTTTGTTGGGAATGAGGCGCCTGTTTTAAGAAAGAAGTAGGCCTATTTATTTGGGTTTTTTTTGTATTATATTTTCAATTCATTCTTTTTCCTTTTTCTTTTTTTAAATCAACAAAATAAAAAACCAAAAAAAAACAAGAAAACAAGCAAACAACATTCCAAGCCTTTATCAACTTTTCTTTGGTGTTGGAAATTGTGAGAAAGCCCTACTACGCTGGTTTCTAGATGCCTGGTTTGTGTTTAGATAAATCCTTACTTGTGATTTGCGGAATTTCGGAAATGAAATGAATGGAGAGTTTACGTCCCACATTTCTGCAGCTGCTAATGAAGACGGGCTGTGTATAGCCTACCATGCCGTGTGCAATAAGGGAAATTTTGCCACGACTATTTTTTAGGCATTAGCCTAAAAATTTTATCTTAGATTGAATTGTCCAGGGACCTTTTAACGTTTCGTACACAGCCTGTAGCACACTGGGCAAAGGTTTTCGTGTTCCATTCAAAAGACTGCGCCTGTTGAATTTAGAGCTCGATTAATTTGTCTTGTAAGGTAATCTACGAGTGTAGGGTTGTTTGGAAAACAGGTCTACCAGCTGTTCAATTGTAGAATTGGACTGGGGGAAAAAAATAGAAACGAATTTAATTTTTTATCTATAGTAAACTTAAATTGCTCAAAAAAATAAA